GACTCCGCGGCAATCAGGGGTAAAATCCCGGATCGACTGCCGGACAACCTAAGCACTGAGTTGTAGATCGGCTGGCCCCGCAACTTACCGTATAAGCCGTTTCGTGACCGCGATTTCATATTGAAGTAGCCTGCAGCATCTTGAAAAAAGACTAATGATGGCGAGAGTTTCATCATTCACCCCTTTATTTTCAATAGTGATGAAAGTAACTCACCGCAATCGCTAGGTCGCCTTTTATTTTTCAAATATAGATCGTAAGCCAGGTTACGGTAAACCGATGGATCAAGAGATTTCACAGATGAGTACGGAATCGGCGGTCGCCAGGCTGGCGCGAACGGCTGTTTCAAGCACCTACTCTTTAGTACAAATTACAAAAATTACAACCATACTGCTAACCACACTGCTCCCATCACTGAAGGAGCAGTCTCCATTTGATTGTTCTTGCATATACTCGGAAGGGGTTTGAACATCGGCTCCGATCGTATCTTAAACAAACAGAAGTTTCGATTCTTTTAGCAGTAATTACGATTACCTGCTTTGTAGTCACATGCCAGGAACAAGAAAACATCTTACCCATGTCTTTGCGTACTTTCTCTATTGATTCTTTGATAACACTTCGAGAAAATCCGAAAACACCAACGTAAAGTGCCTCGTAGAGGATTGCTGCAACACTTGCTGTCCAAGTGTACGAAGACAGATCGACATATGGCCAAGTAAAAGGTATAGTAGGAAAAAGTAGGAGACCAATGAAAAACACCTACTTTGAGCTAGAGCTAGATTAGTGTGATCTTCTCTTGTAATCACTAAATCGAAATGGCCGCGACATGTTTCGCACAGCATCACCTCAAAAAAAGTGAAGAGTTAAATCAAGTAATTCGTGCAAAATTGAGACTTAAGCTATACTCAACCAGCCTAAACAAGCAAGTGCAGAAAGGTGGGCATGGGCAAATGGTCCATTTACTCTGTTATTAACTTCCGCGGATACTTGGATTGTACATGGAGCCAAAGATAACTGCCGTAACTACAGATTTCAAATCCTCAACAAATTCCAGTATTTCACTTCAAGTATTTAATTGTAGACATATCAGGTTGGTCCTCATCAAAAATAAAAACTGGACAAACGAATCCATGATAAAGATCTTCTCTTGGGAGTCTCTTCCACAATTTTGTGCAAGTACGGGACTTTTTCGAAGTCATTACTCATTTTCGGCTTTTATCATGAACCAGTACACCATTGTAAACAGAAAACTATCTAAACTAGTCTTCAAGTACCTTCTCAGCAGGCTCCTTTCCGGTGCTTCCTTTATAGATGACAGGCCTCTCTCCGATTTCACGATACACATGTAAGTCGACACTGGAATGAATGAATTCGCTCATTTTCCAACTTATTTGAGTCACCTGATTATCAACCATAGCGTGCCACTGCGAACCTTAGAGAATTGCAAGCCTAACTGGCAATAAGGAAGGGGTCCCGTAGATGTTAGCATTCTACAATGAGGACGCATCATCGTGGTGTGAAAGAGGTGCGAAACACCGACCCTGGACGACCCCCTTTCACAGCCTACCACCACTCCCTGTTTCGTATTTGAACGCCACGAGTAAGAAGTAACGTGATTTCGTCGTTGTAGACTGGGGCGTGCCAAGGGGCGGAGGGGGGGAAGGCTGTAGCGGGAGGGAGGCTGTAACTGTAGCGCTACGTCGCGCTACAGTTAACGTAGCGTAGCGTTCAAATACGCTACAACTGTACCAAACTCCAGGTTCCCTTATGTTTTTTCTTTCTGAATTCAATCCCTTCTCTTTGTTTCTCATGTTTATCTGATCCTGAGCTCCTTTTTTTCTTTAACACTGAATTTTGATGTATTTTTGATTGAGCAATTGAAATTGATTGAACAATTTCGCAATCGGCACTGAAGACATCAACATACCAATAGCACATCTTCTGATAGAGTAAAATCGGACAACGAGTATAAAATCAGTCATCACAATGTTATTCAACAACTGTCACAAATTCATGTTCAAGAAAAAAAAACGGGTCGGATTCAGATAAACATGAGAAACAGAGAGAAGGGATTGAATTCAGAAAGAAAAAAACATAAAAGCGGAACCTGGAGTTTGGTACAGCTGTAGCGCGACGTAGCGCTACCAAGTACTGATTTTCGTTTGCAGACGCTGGGGGGCGGGGGACCAAGGGCTGGCTTTTGCGAGACATCATTGTTGGTGCCGGCAAGCGGCACGAAATGAAAAACGGACTGTGCCGCGTCAAACATAGTTCCCTGCTACGCCCAGCGTATGCAGAAAAAACAACTGTATTTGTATTAACAAGATCTTCTCGCATATAAATTCAGTTGAACTTGAACCCCTAACATGCCTAAACAAAAAAAAACGAATGCACTGATGTATGTACCTCAAAAGATGAGCGATGGTTGTTAGCGCATCCTCGATTCTGTTCACGCGCGGCAGCCCGTCCTCAATTCGTTGGATGTGATACTGAAAAAGGAGTTGCTCTTCGATGAATTGCTGAAGAGCAGCGTGTTCTCTCTGATCCATGCTAAGCTGAAATAAATGCATAAAAGTAGTTGTAGCAGCCCATCATGGAAGAGCAAAACAGCTCAGGTAACATAGAACATACCGATTCACAGACCGCTCTGTATAAACTACTCCCTTTGTCATTTGGCATCGTCTTCTTCACCAAGCCGAGGCTAGCTAGGTACCTGAGGGGATCTAGTATGAGACCCATTGTTCCTTGTGTTTTCACCTCACTAGATAGGTTTTAACGAGTGTATAGGTTAGTTCGTATTGAGAGAGGCGATCTGGCGAGCACGTAGGGAATGAAATAACATCCTGGTATTCCAGTGGCTCTTTTCTCGTATCACCTCTTTCTCCCCCTTTTTAAGGGCACGAATTAGTACAGGAACAGCCGCACCATCAGATATACTCTACAAACGAATGTTGGGCGATTATAAAGGGAGGAACCTCTGGCATGGCAGGAGCTAGTAAAAACACAATCAGCTAAAGGCACACTTCGAAAATTGTCTCAAAACAACAAACCTGTCGAAAGGGTCACCAATGAATTTGCGGACAGTTGTCACGGAAGAGTCGCTCAGCGAACCTTAGAAAAACTGTCTTGTGATTCTTGTTCTACATCAAGAATTATTTTCCCCCTGAGTTATTCTTGCGAGCGCTGTGAATCTTTCATAAGGCTATCCACTGTATGGCATGAAGATTGAATAGCAAAACTAACTGGTAGGTATTGCCAGCGGTCCCACACGGTTCTTCCTTTGCAGGCTAGTGCCAGCCGCTCTCAGTAGAGACATGGCTCCTCCAAAACAATATCTAGGAGTGGGAGCGAAAAATGCTGAATCAGGAATTATCCATCTAGACACAGCATACGATACCAGTTAATAGTACTGCAAAGTTAGCAATATGACGGCACAATGTTCAACTTGATTCTTTTCACCTGGTTACGGTAGCTCGCTGAGATCGTTATGGGACCCACTCCCTGCCGCTTCAGCGCCAGGGCACATCGTTGTTGGGGAATCCCCAATAGGGGGGGTCGTATTTGGTCGCCAGGAGGGGGGGTCGTATTTGGGCTGAGAAAAATTTATTTTGATAGTTGATTTTTATCGTTGTAAAGGGAGGGGAGGTCGTATTTGATCATTTTTGGGAGGGGGGGGGTCGTATTTACGTTTTGGCGTTGTGGGAGTGGCGGTTGACTTTTGGTGATTTTCCTGTTTCACGTACTATATGCCCCCCTCGACAGCAAAATTTTTGGTAAAAAGTAAGGAAGTTTTCGGGGAAATTTTGGAAAAAAGGGGCAGGAAGTTGGGGAAATCTTGAGTGGTCCGAGGGCGGGGTCTTAATTGTCTTGGCGGGCCTTTTTCTGTTTCACAATGTGGCTATTTACCTCCGCCCACCCTCGCCCTACCGCTCTGATGGCTCTGATTCGGATGGAAGGACTCGGCTAGGGGGGGATCGTACCAACTCCCAAAAAAGGGGGTCGTATAGTGTCGACTAAAATCCCCAACCAGTGATGTGCCCTGTTCAAGCGCACGGCTGTTCCCAATAGCCGACCAAGGTTTGTTATAAGATTCATTCGCGTTTTCGTTGATATTTTGCTCATGCAACGTCAACTGAAAAGTTTCATATAGCCGGCAGAACGTCTCCGGGGGACATGAGTTGGCAATTTTGTTTGCAATTATTTGCATTTTGTATTGATCGCCTTTTTCTAGGCACTCGCGCTTCAATACGACGGATGTACCGCGCAATGTAGTGGGGGCTGGGTGCAATGCCAGTGGGGAAAGGATCAGGAGGGGGCGGCATGGAAGGGCCTTCGCTAGCCCTGCTCTCACCAATTGGTGATTCGGTTACTGACGTATTCAGAGGCCACATGACCATTGGTGGAACGCGAATCCGCGTGTGCTGCTCACGTTCAATCCGCCTTGGAACCGCTCTACCTGATTGCGACGATATCAACTCAGTAAGCACTGACACACTCTTCGTCCATTTGTCCACGCCCTTTGTGCCTCTTTTTGCAAGATTTTGATAAGTTTTCAAAAACTTCGCCTTCTTGGGCTGCAACGAGCAGCACCGCCCATTTCGCAGAAATCACGCCCACTTCGAAAAGGGACCCAGACCAGCAGGCTAGTGTCTCACTTGCGGGAACCATACGCAATTCCCTCTGAGTGCTTAGTTCTCCAGTACGACGAATTTGAGAGTTCTCGTTATTTCAGTTCTCCCAGTAAAGCGGGGTGCAGTTCTGGAAATAGCGAAGGGTCGTCCGGTGCCCACGGATGACGATTTGCTCATTAGTAAGCCCAGGTAAAGGAACTTCTAGTGGACCAACCATACCCTTCGGACAAAGCGCCGAGCTTTTCAGTGTGTTGGACACTCTTATCAAAGTGCCTGGCTAATGCCGTTTGGACGCGCTGACTTTTGGCTGCGAGCTCATTTTTAAAGTGCCTAGATCACCAAATCCGCTGAAAACTTGTATATAGAGGTAATCTAACATCCTGATTACGACTATGACATTCATTCTTGGCGCTGGCGCTAATGGAGAACACTACGATTATCTGCCCTCTGCTAAAGCTGAACCCAGAAGATAATCGTAGTGTCCTCCATTAGCGCCAGCGCCAAGAATGAATGTCATATTTGTGAACAGGATGTTAGATTACCTCCTATATACAAGTTTTCAGCGGATTTGGTGATCTAGGCACTTTAAAAATGAGCTCGCAGCCAAAAACCAGCGCGTTTGAAACGGCATTAGGCAGAGTGTCTTCCGGAACAGTGTCACCCATTTCTAACCTTTCG